GGCTGCTTTGCCGCCCGGGACCCGCCGATGATCGGGTCCCCGGCGGCAAGGCGGGGCCGGCACCTGGGGGTGGGCCTGCCCTGGATGGCTCACTGTCCCGCCCTGCCTGCAGTATGGAAATTAGCCGCCATCTTTGTTGGCGGTTAATTTGCATATTGCGCTGATTAGCCAATGGGAGGCGTAGCGAAGGTATGGTCAATTACCATGTTTATTATTAGATAGGATAATCATGACCTGGGATTTATCCTAGGAATGCAAGATTGCTTTGCATTTGAGAATCAATTCTCATTACCAACAGAATAAAGAGGGGGGAAATCACATGATCATTTAAATACACATAGAAAATGCATTTGACAAAATCTAACACTCCTTCATAAAAAAAATAACAAATGAGATATAGAAGGGAACTTCCTCAACATGATAAAGGAAAATAAGAGAATACTTTGAGATTAACGAAAATAAAAATTACAGTATGTTGTAACATACCCATAGTTAACATCATACTTAATAGTGAAAGACTCAATGATTTCCCTCTAAGATTAAGAACATGACAAAGATCTCTTCTCTCACTACTTCCATTCAATATTGTACTGGAGGGCAATTAGGAGGGGAAAAAATATAGAAATAAGAAAAACTATTTCTATATGCAGATGACATGATCTTATATATAGAAAATTCCAAGAAAATCACTAAAACCTATTAGAACTAATAAGCTGATAAGGAGGCAGAACCCAATTCTATACAATTTGAAAATTCCACTTATAATCCTATATAATGAAGTGGTAATATGCAAATTGACCATCACTCCAACACACAAGATGGCCGCCCCATGTGGACACAAGACGGCTGACAGGGGACGGCAGTTGTGGGCAATCAGGCCAGCAGGGGAGGGCAGCTGGGGGGGACCAGGCCTGCAGGGGAGGGCAGTTGGGAGCAACCAGGCTGGCAGGGGAGTGGTTAGGGGGTGATCAGGCTGGCAGGCAGAAGCGGTTAGGGGCAATCAGGCAGGCGAGCGGTTGGGAGCCAGCAGTCCTGGATTGTGAGAGGGATGTCTGACTGCCCGTTTAGGCCCATCAAGATCGGGCCTAAACGGGCAGTCAGACATCCTTCAAGGGGTCCCAGATTGGAGAGGGTGCAGGTTGGGCTGAGGGACACCACCACACATGTGCACGAATCTCATGCACCGGGCCTCTAGTAGCATATAAAAGAACATACCTAGGAATACATTTAACAAATGAAATAGAGAATTTATATTCTGAAAACTACCAACATTGTTGAAATTAAAGACGATGTTAAATAAATGGAAATATATATTTTCATGCATCAGAACACTTAATATTGTTAAAATGGCAATGCTTCTCATGTTGCATATTGATATACAGTTGAGAACAACCCCCATAAAATTCCAGCTGACTTCTTTGCAGTAACTGAAGTTAACCCTAAAATTTCACTGATTGCCCTGGCCAGTGTGGCTCACTTGGTCCAAGTGTTGTCTAGTACATCAAAAGGTGGCAGATTTGATTCCGGTCAGGGCACATACCCAGATTGTGGGATCAAGCCCCAGTCTGGGTGCATGCAGGAGACAGCGATCAATATTTCTATCTCCCCCTTACTTTCTCTAAAAATAAAAAATATATATAATCATAAGTTTGGCTTTTATTCAATAGGAAATAAAGAGCCACTAAAATCTGAACATGTACACATTAGTAGCTTTTTTAAAATAGTAAAATGAAGTACTGCAGCATTTAGAATTATAAAAGTGAGACTACCCTTTAAAGGTTGAAATTTTAAATTAACAACAAATCAAAGCAGAAATGAAGTTGCCCTGCACCGAGGGGGAAAAAAAGGTCTCCAGGCCTATAACACTTGACTAGTTTCAATAGCTCTATCACACAGCTTCAAACAAGTTTCTGGTTTTGGGGTGTATGGCAAAAAATTTACAAACAGTCCTATTTAATGACCAACTTTTGTATTTATTCCTTCTTTTGACAGTCACAGGTTTCTAGATCTACTCAACATCTCATTTTTCCACAAACCAGTAAAATTTCTAATCAGTATCAGAGAATCATAAGCAAGGCTAAAACATTATTTAAGGTAACAATTCTGGTTTTTGGAGAGGACAGATTTTCAGAGACTGTACCCTCTTGCCCTTCCTGTAACAATGTCCTACAATAAAAAAAGTTAGAAGGTTTAGTTTGTTTAACTTCTGCAATTCTAGGAAATGTTATTTAAGCCCTCTGATTGACTCGGGCTCCCCAATCCAGTAATCCATAATTTAGGAAATGTCACCACCATTTAACCAGTTGCCCAAACCAGAAATGTGATCAGTATATTAAATTTCCACTTTAATTTCACCTCATTGAAAGGCCTTTTCAAATTCCACCTTCCTAATTTGTTTCAAATTTTTCTTAATACTTCACCCCATTCCTAACCCCCCCACCTAAGGGCCACACAGCTAAATAAGGCAGAATTGGGATTTGATTAAATTTCTGCCTCTATAGGGACTCTCTCTGGCTCACATAATGCACTTTCATGGTTTTTAACTCCCAAATTGTATCTCTAGCTCAGATCTTTCTCAAATATCTCAAAATTAGAAATCCAATCACCTGCTAGAAACATCCCCCTGAATATTCCATAGGCATCCCAATCTCAAAATAGCCAAAAATTTATCAAAATCTTTCCCATCCAATTTACTTATCATCTATTCTCTGTAGAAAACTGATCAATCTCTCTCTCTCTCAATACCCAACTACTCAGATCCTTTCTCTATTTTTCATTCCAACAAATCCTCACCTAAACTCATTTTACCAACCAATATCCAAACTTCATGTGATCCATGAAGCCTTTGATGATCTGATCATTGCTTACCTTTCCTGTCTTACTGTCTTGTACTCAGTCCTTCAATCATAAAAACTGCTTGTAGTTTATTAATGCACTAGGTTGCTTCTCATCAATCTATCTACTTCTTCATGTACTCTCTATGCCTAGATGGCTGCCTTTCCAATCTCAGGCGCACATGCAGGTCTCCACCCATGAAACAAAAAGTAAATCTAAGTACACTGATTCTACCGGTTTTAAAACCTAAGAATCAACACAGAGTCTATCTCCCAGTAAAGGCTCTTAGGTGTAGGATGCAGCATTTCTAGTCAAACATTCTACAGCGGAGCTTAAAGGCAGAAGTCATGCATGCCGGACCAAGAAAACAAGCATCCTGGATATTCAGTTTCTTTAAACCACAACTTCTGGTTTCTAACTATTTTCAGTTCTTAAGTACCTGTTCTTGAGCATCTTTTCCAAAAGAATGGCTGCCAAAATTCTGCTTGATTTAGCATCCTCCTATGAGTCATCTGGAAGTGACTTGCCGAGATAAGTCTAAGAAGAAAGGGCGAAGAAGCCATGTAGGTGACCTACACTAAAGTGCTGTTACTAGGAGCAGGCAGGGAGACCACAGGGTCAATCTTATTAAAGGAAATGTTCTGGACACATAATACATCAAAACATTGTTCACTTGGAAATCACAACTGCCATCCATACAGTGAATACGATACAAGGAAAGTATAACCAAGTCCAATATCAGGCTTCAGTTCACAAGATACTCAGGAACCCATAGACAAATGAGTGTGAAAATGGATTGTGTAATAACTCAGGTTTCATATATTAATTTTTATAAGCTCATCACAAGAATCAAAGCTCTCTTGAGAGCTCAGGGGAAAGAAGACTTATCAGTGTATTATACTAATTAAGAAGAGTTTAAAGTTCAACTAAATTAAAATATGGCTCAGCTATTACCTCATCTGCCCTGATGTCTTCTCCATTTATTAAGATCACTAGTGGCCCGGTGCACGGATTGGTGCACTTTGAAAGGAAATTAATTAGAAGGTGGCCAGCAGGGTGGGACTGGGCAAGATGGGCCGGCCACGCCCTGGAGCCAACCTCCTGCGGTCCCTCCCCGGACGGCCACACCTGGGGTTGTGCCATGGCTCGAAGGGCATCTGCAGAGTGAGCCGGGTCCCTCTGGCAGGTGGGGCCCCTTGGCCTGGCCTGCAGGGCCTGCGGGGATTGGGCCAAAACAGGCTCTCCGACATCCCCCAAGGGGTCCCAGAGTGCGAGAGTTAGTGTTGCTGAGCAACTCCTGCGTTGAACATCTGCCCCCTGGTGGTCAGTGTGCATCATACCTCCCCGCCAGTTGGCCGTTTGTTTAGCCTTATATATATATAGATAGATTAGGTGCCTCTCTGTTCTCCCAGAATTTCTTCTGCTCTTTTCTCTCTCACTATATTTTCCACACTATATTTTAACTTATCTGCCCAATGTTCTTCCTCTAGACCAGCGGTCACCAACCAGTGGTTCATGGACCACTGGTGGTCCATGAGGTCCAAAAGGTTGGCAACCGCTACTCTAGACTGTAACCATCTTGAGGAGTGGCTTTGTCTTTTCATATTTGCATCCCTAAGATATACAAACTGCTATATCTATCAACTTACTGAATGACCAAGTCTTCTTTTTACTCGATTAAACCATCAAAAAATCTAAACCATTGCTACTCAAATCCCATTAACCATTTTTTTTATGATGAGATAGGGAGTATGAACCAGAATATGTAAAAGAATGGCTTCTTTTTTTGAGTAAGTCTTGCTTTTTAAAAAATGTCTAGCTAAACTAAACTGTGTTTAGTAATGCAGCTGATTTACATTCTTGCCCCATTTTGATTCAAACACTTTTTAGAAAAAGACATTTCTCATAAAGAAAAGTAAAATGCTGAGGAATAGATGGTTAAAATTAACTCTAGGGTCTTTATCCATCTTTATAAAACACACATATATTTACAGATACCCAAAAAGATATAAAATAAAGGCACCTACTTTCACTGGTAAAAAAAATAAAGACACAGGGCACTTACGAAGTTTTTTAAAAGCCAACACGCATTAAAAAAACCTAATAAATTTTTAATTTTTTCCTTTTTTGTAACAGGACAAGTAACAGATTACATCAAACTTCAGAACTTCTCAAATATCTAGTTATTATACACATTCCCATCTGTCTTGCAGGGAGGGATCTTGGTCAGCTTAACAGTTTCAGGTAAAATAAGCTGCATAATAGTATATATTACAATAATAAGTGTACAATGTTTACATGAAATATGTTTTAGAAGCAAGATAAAGATGTATCTGCATCAAAACGCTACCTTTTAAAATGCCACAACTATTTTTACATTCACTCTTGCAACAGGTCACAAGATGGGGTCACTAAGCTCAGATAAATCACTATGATGCACATAAAATGGTTATTTTATATATTATATATATTTATATTTTCACACGTTAGCATCTGAGACATAAACTGAGAATTTAAAATTTATTCTCTTCAGATAACAAATCATTTTTATTCTTCATAAACATGGTGCCCACAAAAGCACATAGGTAAGGCACAATAGGGTTTTCTGTTACAGAACAGTGTGCATCATGTTTACTTAACCAGAAAACGTGCATTATCTGTGCAAGTGCATGCTGCAAACCCAACACATATACAATAAAAACCAAAAAGGAAACTGAGCTTTAAACAAAATAAAAATGGGTACAACCTTCAGGTGTTTCACATATTCATTTGGACTGACAATGATATATCAACAGGTTACTTAAAAAACAAAAAGGGAAAAAAAAGCCAGTTGTGGACATTACAAGTAAACTTTGCTCCACAACTATTTTAATCTGAAATAAAAAACAGTAATAAAGTAACTTTACTGAAACAAAGTAAATATCGAGGCACAAATCAATGGTCACTCGTGCATTTACTATATTGCAAACTTTTCATGACCCAAAACTGTAGATATAATTTTTCAGATACACATTTTGCTGAAACAATGTGCCCTGCTTTAAACTTGACATATAACAGGGGAGCTAATATTTTATTAAGTTATAAATAGATTGGGAAAATGACTTGATCCCAATGGTACTATATCGTAGCCCTAGCATTTATAATAAATACAGCTTTTCACAAAATACTTTTCCAATATCCGCCAATTGCTTCTTTATTGCTCACATAAATTTGAAACCATTACAACTGGTATCGAAACTTTCACACAAAATCATACTCAAGACATTTTTATATAAAACCTATAAAAGATATTTGAAACTTGTATCTAATACTTCCGGGGTTTTGGCTGTTTGATCTATGTGATAGTACAGCCATATGTATATATGTGTGTGTATATATACACATACACACATACATATATATATACATACACACATATATACATATACATATATATATACACACTTTAGATTATGAATAAAATAGGAAGCTTATTTTACTGCTTTAATGCAGACATCCTCACAAAACAAGACTACTTTTGCCACCACCAGCAATTATACATATATACAAAAGCCAATTTAAGTACATGTACATCCAATTATACTTATATGTAACCACTAAATCCAAATTAGTTTTCCCATATTCCAGCTGTAGCAAATGAATCTCTTACAAGCAATAGAAACCTAAGGTTAAATTGGAAAATGAACAGTTTTACCACATTAGCCTGTAAGGATCTATACAGGTTACTGTATACAAGAAGTCACAACATTAGTTCACAGGAAATTATGGAAATACAAGTCTCTTTACCATGCTTTTGTGTGATTATCAAAACACTTTTTGGTGCAAAAATACCACCACCACATCTGAAAATATGTAATAAAGTCAATGTTCCTCATGCAAAACTTTAAATGCATTGGCTTAAATGAGCTCCAAAAAACTGAATGAAACAATTATTTACCTACTCAGCATTGCTGCCTCATTGCTAAGTCCCTTTGGAACCTTAAGATTTCTGGAACGTTCAAATAGAGCTGTATTCAATAAAAATATTACATACAAAAAGCATTTAAAAAGGAAGACAAGAAACCAAACTGGAATTTTTCTATTGTAAATAACAGTTCTAGGAGTGGAAGAAAGTCTTTTCAGGAACCTCCTTGAGAATTGGCTAAGCCAGTCCGCAGACGAAGATGAGACATAGAGTTCATATGTTTATTTGATGGCTTCAAGGGAGTGTTGCAAGTAAGAGCGTGGGGAAAGCGATGGTGATATCTATCTAGTCGTAAATATTTTACTGTAACCAATTTCCCTGTTGTAAGATAAAAATAGTATTTTAGATCTGTAAAAATGTGCTTAACGATTTATAAAAAAACTGTGGTAAAAAACAAACAAAACACAAGTTAACATAATCTAAAATTATTACTGTAAAAATGCTCTTAAAATTCTTTAATTTAAAATCTAGTATACTTAAAATAGTAAGCCATAATTTATCTCTTCAAAATGTTTATAATACTCAAATTTCTTACCATCAAACCAAGAGCCATGCAATGCCTTAAAAGCTTTCCCAGCATATTCTGGAGACAGACATTTAACATATACACAACCCTGCGATATTAAAAAAAGAGAGAAAGAATAGTCTTAGTTTAATAGCAACAAATTCAAAATGTAGAATTCAATAGTAAAAGTTACTTTACCTCACGTGAATTTTTGTCTACTGCAATATGAACAATGCCATCATTATCACTGCATTTTTCTAAAATTGCTTCTTGAATTGCCAAATGCCACTGATCCCCTATTTCCCTAAAAATTAATGAAAACAAAAATCAACACCCATATTCATACTCAGTAAGAAGTCTTTTGTCTCTTAAAACATATATCCTACTAGAATGGGGATAGTTTAAAAAGGTAGTAGTAAATAAATGCTTGATACTAGTAGGTAGATTAAAATACATGTATGTATGTATGTATGTATATATATTAGCTTTCAGAAGCTCAGCCCTTTTCTCACTTTCCAGTGTAAGAACGCAGAGCTGGGACAAGGAAGGATTAGTCCACCACCATAGAAGAACAAATGTGCTGTCATTTTTATGTTTAAAATCCTATGTAGCTATAGTCATTTCTTTTTTCTTTCTACACGTTAATAATCATTTTAATGAGTTGGGGTAGACTGGTAAACGTTGAATATTATTTTTTAAATAATACTGTCAAATTCCTAAACTTAAGCAAAATTTTTAGTAAATACAGTAAGTCCTCACTTAACATTGTCAATAGGTTCTGCGACTTTTAAGTGAAACGATGTATGACAACCAATTTTAACAGAGGCTGATTAATATAAATACGAGTTACATTCCTACACTTCTCATCAATGTTATAATAAAATGGCATTAAACAAATTGAACAAAAAAGTGTTATTCAAGGACCTGCTGTAACGTATTCTGAGCCTCTCTTCTCCAAAATAATTAGAGTCATACAAGACAAAAATAGTCACCTTAATATTAAGAGAGCTTTACGATATCCTGCTGCAGCAATGTAAATTAAGATATAGATTGTGAGGCAGAGGGGAAGGCGGCTACACTTTAAATTGTAATCTTCATCTTAAGTAATCACTGGACTGGCAGTGATTTTCTAACTGTTAAGGTATGAGGTAAGATTCCCAACAGGATTACCACCTTGTTAATTATTTTTATCTCTGCAAAATAGAGGCTGTGTATATACTGACAGTACTTCCCCATATTTCTGATTTTGCTGTCACTTATTTAGAATTTCATCATATCAACTATTTCTTTTCTTTTTTTTATCCCCACCTGAGGATATGTTTCTGATTTTTAGAGAGAGAGAAGGGCCTCCCATACTTGCCCCAACTGGGGATCAAATCTGCAACCTAGGTATGTGCCCTGACCAGAAATCAAACCTGAAACATTTTGGTGTACAGGATGACACTCCACCAACTGAGTCACCTGGCCAGGGCTCAACTATTTCATGAAATAAATGAGTTATTAAATGTAACTTATAGGTATTTTATATGTAATTAATTTCCACTGTGAGGATTAAAACAAAAAAAATAGAATGTCGTATCATTGAACAGATAAGCAGTTGCCTCCAGGAAGATTATTAGAGAAATGTTTCTCAACTATTAAATGGACAGAAAAGTTTTTCAAATATTACATGAATAAAAAGGGTTGTGGAAGGGAAGGTATGTAACATCTTTGTAGAGAATTTTTACAAGATTAGAAATTTAAAAATAGCAGATATTTTTTTTAAATGTATTTTATTGATTTTTACAGAGAGGAAGGGAGAAGGATAGAGAGTTAGAAACATCGATGAGGGAGAAACATCGATCAGCTGCCTCCTGCACACTCCCCACTTGGGATGTGCCCGCAACCAAGGTACATACATGCCCTTGACGGGAATTGAACCCGGGACCTTTGAGTCTGCAGGCCAACGCTCTATCCACTGAGCCAAACCGGTTAGGGCAATATTTTTATCTCTATTGCCCATTGAGGCAAACAACATTGGCATACATGACTTATGCATTTAATAAAGAGTACTGTCTGTATGGTGTGTGTCATTAATTTGACTCAAGCATTTATATGCTATGTGGGTAAGATTTATAAAAGTTTTACAAATCATTATACATCTGGGTCTTTTAGCCAAACCTTTGGTTGCAATATAACAAAAAGAGAAGAGAAAAATATAACATTTCTGTAGTTAGAAATTAAGAAGGAAAAGAGATTTTTCAATTACAGCCACTGCATTTTTAAGAATACCATTGATTTTTCAGCCAGGTATTCCAAATAAAAATTACATATACCCCTGGTCATAATACTTACATAACTGGATCAAACATATTTCGAATCTTGAGACACGGCGTCAAACTATTTGGTGGTGAATTTCTTCTATCTAAATGAAATGCTACAAAAAATAAGTTAGTTTTATTATTTGCCATTATTCCAATTTATTGAAAAGGTATTCAATCATTTAATTCATTCAAAAATATTCACTGTGTATTTTTACTACAAGGCAGACCCCTGGATGCTAAGGTGAATAAGACAGTAATTGCTCTCACAGAATTTAGTTTAGTGGGGGAGACATTAAAAATAGTGTCACCCAAGAAATCATAATTGTGGTAAAATCTAAGAAAGAACAGTACAGAAAGCTCTCTAGGTAACTTAAGCTTAATTCTGAAAGTATCAGATAACACTTCACCAAGGTAGTGACATTTATGCTGGGACCTAAAGAATAAATAAAAATAGGCAAAGTGAAGAGAGGAGTAAAGTGAAGCAAAGAAGGAGCTTGGTCTATTCAAGTAACTAAAAGACAGCCACTGTGGCTAGACTGAGGACAAGAAAAGATAAACCTAAAGAGAGAGATGTTAGATTTTTCTGGACTATGTAGGTCACAACGTATTTTAGGGATTACCATAAGTGCAACAGAAAGCCACTCAAACATTCTCAGAAGAGGAATGAATATGATGAGATCTGTCTTTTAAAGTTACAAATTTTAAAAATAGACAGCCATATGGAGAATCACTTAGGTGGAAGCAAAAATGAACATAAGAGGACCAGTTAGAAGGTTATTATAACCCAGACGGCATGAATCAATGGTTGAGCGTCAACCTATGAATCAGGAGGTCACGGTTCAATTCCCAGTCAGGGCATATGCCCAGGATGTAGGCTCTATCCCAGCCGTGGGCAAACTACGGCCCGTTTGAAATGAATAAAACTAAAAAAAAAAAAAGACCGTACCCTTTTATGTAATGATGTTTACTTTGAATTTATATTAGTTCACACAAACACTCCATCCATGCTTTTGTTCCGGCCCTCCGGTCCAGTTTAAGAACCCATTGTGGCCCTCGAGTCAAAAAGTTTGCCCACCCCTGCTCTATCCCCATTGTGGGGCGTTCAGGAGGCAGCCGATCAATGATTCTCTCTCATCATTGATGTTTTTATCTCTCTCTCCCTCTCCCTTCCTCTGAAATCAGTAAAAATATATTTTTAAAAAAGGTTATTATAGTTGTCTAAGAGTGAAATTATAGTAATGTGGATAAGAAAGGGCAATAAGGCAGATGTAAATAAGTGGATAGAATCGGAACCTATTTGAGTAGATCTGATGTAACTCATTTAAAAACTGCAAATGGAGGAGGATAAGACAGAGATTATGGGTGACTCCTTAGTTGTAAGGAAAGGTGTGATTAATCAGAAAGGAACACCAAAGGAGAGGTCAGTTTAGAGAGAGAAGATACTGAGCTCGTGCACGTGTTGAATTTGTGGTGCCCATCTCCTATTAGAGAAGGTAAATATATAGCTAAGTATAAGAATCTGAAAACTAAAACAGAATACTAAGTTCAAAATATAAATTTGGAAGTTATCAACATATATGATAAATGAAGTCACAGCAAGAGAACAGCAAGGGCAGTGGTTCTCAACCTGTGGGTCACGATCCCTTTGGTGGTCAAACGACACTTTCACAGGGGTCGCCTAAGACCATCCTGCATATTAGATACTAGAGGCCCGGTGCACAAAAATTTGTGCACTCGGGGGGGCGGGGGTCCCTCAGCCCGGCCTGTGCCCTCTCGCAGTCTGGGACCCCTCGGGGGATGACCACCTGCTGGCTTAGGCTTGCTCCCCAGGGGATTGGGCCTAAAATGGCAATCAGACATCCCTCTGGCAGCCCGGCAGCCCTCGAGGGATGTCCACTTGCCAGCGGGGAGCAGACCTAAGCTGCAGTCGGACATCCTTAGTGCTGCTGAGGAGGCAGGAGAGGCTCCCACCACCACCACTGTACTGGCAGCCATCAGCCTGGCTTGTGGCAGAGCAGAGCTCCCCCATGTGAGAGCGCACTGACCACCAGAGGGCAGCTCCTGCATTGAGCATCTGCCCCCTGGTGGTCAGTGTGTGTCATAGTGACCAGTCATTCCCAGTCTTTCTGCTGTTAGGGTCAGTTTGCATATTACCCTTTTACTATATAGGATAGAGGCTTGGTGCACAGATGGGGGCTGGCTGGTTTGCCTTGAAGTTTGTCCCGGACAGGGTGGGGGTCCCGCTTGGGTGCCTGGCCAGCCTGGATGAGGGGCTGATGGCTGTTTGCAGCTGGTCACACCTCCTTCAGGGTGGGGGTCCCCACTGGGGTGCCTGGCCAGCCTGGATGAGGGGCTGATGGCTGTTTGCAGCTGGTCACACCTCCTTCAGGGTGGGGGTCCCCACTGGGGTGCCTGGCCAGCCTGGATGAGGGGCTGATGGCTGTTTGCAGCTGGTCACACCTCCTTCAGGGTGGGGGTCCCCACTGGGGTGCCTGGCCAGCCTGGATGAGGGGCTGAGGGCCGTTTTCAGGCTGGCCAGCGACTGAAGCTCCAAGCCTCTCCTTTTTTTCTTTTTTATTCTGGGTTTTATTTACCTTCTACAATTGAAACATTGTTGCCGTCACTGGCGCTACCAGCTCTGAGGCTGTGGCCGGCTGAAAGTAGGTATCTGGGGTTTGTTTAGCTTCTATAATTGAAACATTGTTGCTTTCGGGCTCAGAGCCGGGCCACGGCAGGCGGGGAACCTTGGCTTCCTCCATCACTGGAGCAAGCAAGCCTCCTGCTCACTTCAGCTGTGTGGCTGCCGACCGCCATCTTTGTTGGCAGTTAATTTGCATATCTCGCTGATTAGCCAATGGGAAACGTAGCGGAGGTACGGTTAATTACCCTTTTTGTCTTTTATTAGATAGGATTTACATTACGATTAATAACAGTAGCAACATTACAGTTATGAAGTAGCAACGAAAATAATTTTATTGTTGGGCCAGAAGGTTGAGAACCACTGCGCTAGGGAGACAGGTAGAATGAGATAAGAAGATGGCCTTGAGAAACTTAACACTTAGAGGTAGAAATAGAAAAGAAGACTGAAGAAATTGTCAGAGGTAGGAAGAAACCAGAAGAAAATGGCATCCCCAAAGCCAAAAGAAGAAAAGTTTCTAGGCAGGCTCAATTGCTAACAGTTCTAAGTAAATTAAGGTTCTAAGAACAAAAAAATCCATTGGATTTACCAATTCGGAAGTTTGAGAGCCGTTTCCTTAGAATGAAGGGGATGTAAAACAGACGGGAGTCAGCTGTAGAATAACTGAGAGGTGAAAAAGTAAAGACTATGAGTAAAGTGTTTAACGCTATTTGGCCGTAAATAGGTAATAGCTATTTGACAGTGTAGAGTCCAACACTGTGTTACAGATGAGAGAGACTACAGCATGTTTAAATGGTGATGAAAAGATCCTGTAGATGCAGGAATGTAAAACAGTAAGGGAAGATACTTGAGAAGACCCCAGATCAAGAAAGTCTGTGAACTTCTAGTACCATAACAGTGTACAGGTTCTGTTCTTAGATGATCTTTTAATTGCAGGCAATCTGACTTCCTTGAAAGTCCAATATTGGCCTGGGCCAGAAGGGGATGAACCAGAGAAAAAAACACTCATACCACCTTATGCTAGATTAGACACAAATTTCCACTAGTCAGAAAGTAGTCCCAAAGATGAAATTGATTTTTAAAATAAATGCTTTGTCTCACTAACTGAACTGTAATCACTTCCTGAGCAAAGTAAAGATATAGTAGTTACTCAGTGCTACATTTTAAATACCTCAGGAACTACCTTTGGATCCTTCAAATAAAGGCTGTTAATTCCAAACACTACATCTGTCAGAGCATAAATAGTTCTCTGGCTCCCCAGCAGGTATTGTTTGATTTTAAACTGGTGCTTTAAAATACTTTTAGAAATACTAATCTACGCTAATAAAAGAGAAACATACAAATTGGTGTAACTCCGCTACCCTTCCCATTGGCTAATCAGGGTGATATGCAAATTAACTGCCAGCCAAGATGGCGGC